ATGCCTCAGATCTAAACCAGGACTAAACCAGAACTAAAGCAGGACTAAAATCAGGTCTAAACCAGATCTAAAACCAGGACTAAACCAGGAAGAAAACAGGATTTAACCAGGACTAAACCACGGAGTGCGGTCCGCGTCTCCTCCAGTGTTTCCTCTAAACCAGAACTAAAACCAGGACTAAAATCAGGTCTAAATCAGGTCTAATCCAGGTCTAAAACCAGGATTAAACAGGATTTAACCAGGACTAAACTATGTTGCACGGACCGCGTCTCCTCCTTTGCGCTGCCAGTCTGTGAAATATTGTCAGACATAAAACCGGTCCATGGCACAAAAAATGTTGGGGACCATTGCCTTAGTCCACTCCTTTATACAGTCTATGGTATGTAGGCACACATTTCTACATTTCTCAGTGCAATAAAAACAAAAAAGCTTTTATTTAAGTTTATTTTTGTTTAAATTAAATTACTGAAATATTCCACATCCCTTAAAGGTTGTATAGAGGATTTTTTAAGGGAAGTGAAATACAGTGACAGTCCTTTTTCAAATGTTGTGCATGCAGCTCCCTCAGTAGAAACACCTCCTCCCTCCTTTTTACTCTAGAAATCACGTTTGTTTACATCCAGCGTGTGTTCAGAATTACTGTTGAAGTGACCTGTCTAGAAGTCATTTATCGACAGGCGCGTCAGTTTTTAGAGCCTTCGTCTGCTTCAGTCGCGCCGTCGCTGGAAGGAATCTCCAAGAATCACCTCAGTTTGTCTTCGCTCCTTTTCCCCCTTCTCTTCTTCTTCTTTCAGCGACCTCAAAAATGGACTTTCTTTCGCAGCGAACTGGTCGTGGATTCTCGTCTGCCATCGCGACAAACTTTGTGCGAACTGCGAGGAAGCGACGGTTTGAAAAGCCTCAAAGAACCACCGCATAAACCACGTAATCCCAACGCGCCGACGAGTCAGTTACACTAGAAACATAGGGAGTTTGATTGACAGCCAATAGAAAATGAGGCAGCCTCGTTTTCTATTGGCTGATGTTTATCTGGCCTCAACACGTCCACAGTTGATAGATTTTAATTTTTTTTTTTTTTGATCATCATAATTACAAAGATGCTGCGTCTCTGTAATGGTATTTTAAACTCTCATTGACAATTTGAAACTGAAAAAAAAAATCCTCCATACAACCTTTAAGCGCTTAAATTTTACTCCAAAAATATCAGATTTATATTCAGGATTCAACGCGACATAGATATTTAATTTTGGTCGTGCAGATAACAGATATGTAAGCGTGATCTTCAACCTCGCGTCGGTGGAAGTGGAAGCTCTGAACTCCGGGTGAAGAGGAGGGAGGAGGGAGCGGGTGTGAGAGAGAGAGAGATGAGGTAAGCCTGCAGAGGAGAGCCTTAATGTGAGCCCTGCACACATTAGTCACAGTAAATCCCCAGCAGTGGAGCAGAGGGAGAACTTGACCCTGGATACGAACGCTGGGAAGTCGAACATGAAAAAGTGGCCCCCATTGTCCTCCCTCTCCATCAGGGACATTGTAAAAGACAAGAGGAGGAAAGAACGATCAATATGTAGGTGGTGCTTGAGTAAGATCTTTGCATTTTCACAGCTTTTTTATTGAGATTTTGCAATGGGGGGTGATTTACTTAGACTTAGACAAACTTTATTGATCCATAAGAGAAATTATTGGAACACAGTAGCTCACACATCACGATATATTATAATAAAGAGCAAAAATATAAATGCTAATAGGCTTTATTCACACTTACTGGAAGACTTTGGAAACATGCCAACTTGCCAGAGCTTTCCATGGGCGACGTGACTCTAATTTACAAATTAATGGGCAATTTTAAAAAGTAAAAAAGAAAGAATCCAATGACTTCTAGATCATTGTGTCGCCTTGTCACGATCTACATGTTTTGTATATGTGTATATTTTGACCATTTTTTTCCAATATTGCTGGTTCTATTGAATGTTGAAAAGAAAAAGAAATGGGCTACAGTAATGTCCAAACAGGCGACTTATGGATCCTTTTATTGCTGCTTCAATTACTGTTTTTGTTTAAAACTTGAGTAATACTAATTGTTCAGAGAGACACGATCACTCAGTCAACAATAAAATATCCTCATTAATGTTCAGTAATGGTCAACTCCACCTTTATTTTGTGATTTACAAATAATGTAAGGTTTGTGACTTTTAAAATATGGGTCCCTAGAAAAAAAAACTTTGGGAAACACTGATCTAGATGAAGAAAACTGGGTCATTTTCTCAGTTTTCCCAAATTTACTACTGCCAACAAAGTCAGCCGGAAACCATCATCCACATGTTTCCAAACAGTGTCTGGTTTTGTGATGTGGGCATGATATATTCAAAAATAGCAAGAGACTGATGTCAAATAAAGCATGATTACATAGTTCTATATGTGAAGTAAAATAACATATCGAAATATAGTAATACAAAATATATCTGGGATCTATACAAGAGGTCGTAAGGGGAAACAGTGCAAAGATGAAATAGTGACTGACATGACATATCTGTTACATAAGGGCGAGTTGTTGTACAGTTGTAGGGAGTATTATCTGTTACATAAGGGCGAGTTGTTGTACAGTTGTAGGGAGTATTATCTGTTACATAAGGGTGAGTTGTTGTACAGTTGTAGGGAGTATTATCTGTTACATAAGGGTTGAGTTGTTGTACAGTTGTAGGGAGTATTATCTGTTACATAAGGGTGAGTTGTTGTACAGTTGTAGGGAGTATTATCTGTTACATAAGGATGAGTTGTTGTACAGTTGTAGGGAGTATTATCTGTTTACATAAGGAGTTGTTGTACAGTTGTAGGGAGTATTATCTGTTACATAAGGTGAGTTGTTGTACAGTGTGTAGGGAGTATTATCTGTTACATAAGGGTGAGTTGTTGTACAGTTGTAGGGAGTATTATCTGTTACATAAGGATGAGTTGTTGTACAGTTGTAGGGAGTATTATCTGTTACATAAAGGGTGAGTTGTTGTACAGTTGTAGGGAGTATTATCTGTTACATAAGGATGAGTTGTTGTACAGTTGTAGGGAGTATTATCTGTTACATAAGGGTGAGTTGTGGTACAGTTGTAGGGAGTATTATCTGTTACATAAGGATGTGCTGTGCAGTTGTAGGGAGTATTATAGTATAAACATAGTCCTATATCTCTCACTGTTTGAGTGGAGCTGTAGGAGCCTGTTGAAAAATGAGCTCCTCTGTCCCTCTACTACTGGTGCAGTGGGCGAATTGTTGTACAGTTGTAGGGAGTATTATCTGTCCCTCTGTAGTCTGGTGCAGTGGGTGAGCAGGAGTGTCCAGTGTCTCCAGCACAATCGAGCAGCTCACAGTTGTATTTTTGTTCTGTATTTTCTCCAGTAAATGACTCACTTTAGTACACGTGCTTATAGGTTTGTCTTCACCTTTGCTGAAATGTAGAAACAAAATGTTGTGTGTCTTATATTATACACAGACACACACACACACACACACACTCTCACACACAGACTCACTCTCAAAACAAACTCTAATGTCTTATGTTTCCAAACAGTGCAATAACCACTGACAAAGTTTCCAATTTGCAGCTTGAACAATATCTCCATCTAGTGGCTGATTGTGTGTAGTACAATATTAAGACAGTATTTTTTAAAACCCACTGTCAAATTAGAACATAGGCGTGTATGCATGCAAGATGATGAGGATTTAAACATGTTAGAATCAAATATTGCTTTTACTGGTAAGAACTGTAATGCTGATTTATTCTTAGTTACAAAATACTCGACACGATGGCCAAGTTCTCAGAGTTCCTTTGCGTTGTGAGTTCAACCTGCGTAACACATGGCTCCTGACTGTTTAATGTTTACTCCGATGTTGTAAAAGGTATAGGTGTGCGCACATCACTGGTGCAAGGCTACTACAGTGAACACAGAAAGTGAGACAAAGCCGCACACTTTTACTCCCAAACTGCCTTTAATAAATGACAATAATAATGAATGAAATCTCAGTGTGCCACTTCCATATGTCCTCTGTCCACACAACACAACATATAACACAATATACACTGTCCATCGTATCCTCCTGAGACCCGGCCCATTCATTTGTGTCCTTTATAGTGGGCGCTGAGTTAACCAGTCAAGTGTTTTGAGACAGACTCTTAAGGGGGGACTAGGTGCCTCAATAGGGCTGGGGGGGGGGGGGGGGTACTATCATGTCCAGGATTTAAAAAAAAAAAAAAAAAAAAAGCTCCATAGGAAGTAGGTGGCTGCACTATAAAAAAAAAAGAAAGAAATTAAAAGGGAGTCTAAAAACCTGAGGTGATTGTAGAAGCTTGTCAGAAATGTTGGTCATCAAAAAAGTTGTTATTGTTAACGTCACATGGATTTAACACCAAAATGTCCCCGGCGTCATTACAGAGGACATGTTTTAAAATTATATATATAAAAAAAAAAAAATCTATGTATGTCATTTGTATATATTAATATATTATTTTATTTTTATTATTACTTTTTGGTCAATATTATTATCATTATTATTATTTTATTTTTTCCTTTTTTCTTTTCAGCGTCTGTTAAGGGTGGGGGGGAGTGGGGAGGTTGAATTGGGGTTTGGGAATGGGGAGGAGGGGGTTTAAATGTGGCATTTGTACACTTGTATATTTTGTGGCATTTTTTGTGGGCCGTAAGACCACAATATTAAAAAAAATATATATCAAAAATTAAATAAAATATATATGAAAAAAAAATAAAAAATAAAAAATCTAAATGCTAAGATGTTCATTTACCTCCAAATCAAAAAAATATATATATTGCAATACACGTTTTTCTTCAGGTCCCAGGAGGATATAAGATCATGTGTCATCATCAGGCAAGTAAATGACATTAGAAAACATCATGTTGAGCTCAGTGAGACCTTTTCACAAAGTCACCCAAAGCAGCAGCAGCAGCTTACTCTGGAGGAGTGGTCAGGTCCTCACTGACCCACTGAGGTTGGCAGTGCGATTCCTGATGAATACTGTTGTTGTGTACTGGGGCAAGACACTTAACCTACGTCACCCTGAGTATCTGTGTACACTGTTGTGTGATTGTGTGAGTTGTTGATTCATGTAAAGCATTGTGAGAGTCTTAAAGGTGGAAAAGTGACCATTTATGTGACTATTTTACTCAACCTTCTGTTTCACCAATCACCACAAGAGGGCGCACAAAAGCATTCATCTTTAATATGTTTTACAGTAAAATGTAAATATCAGAAATATCAATGTGACTGTGCAGTGACAGGCCACACTTCATTCTGAAATTTCACTCTATCAAGCAGTGGATTTTCAATAACAAGATTTTGATAAATGGCTTTGTGACATTTCTGAACCCTGAAATTTTCTGATTTATTTATTTATTTTCAATTAAGGATAGAACAGTGGGCAGGTATATGGGGACAGGTGAAAAACATAAAAATCATCAAATTAATTTGTACATAATATATCCTCTTTAACAATGAATCACAGAGCATGATCATTTGTGACATAATTATGTGAGCTACACGTTTGCTTGGAATTTCTAGGATAATCACTAAACATGAATCTTATTTTTTATGACTACCTCAAAGTGTGTCTCAAAGCGATATGCTATTCTCCACTTTATGTGGGTCTAAATATCCGTATTGGAGTTTATGTCCCAATAAGTTGTTTCTCTCTTCAATTTTATCATGTAAATTGTTAAGACAATCCAGGAAAGTGCGCATCACATCCAGTGGAGCATCTTCACAGAAATAGTCGTTTGGATACGTGCCCAGACGCACCTGAGAGGACAGGACAGAGGGTAAAATGTTAGTGTGATAAAGTAGATGTAATAATTATGATTGATATAGAAGATAATTTGTTTCATTCGATTTTGCTGAATATTTATTTTGAATTTTTAAACACACTGAAAATAAATTCTCAAAAAGTCAGCAATTAAAATTCAGAATGAAACTTTTTGATTTCGGGTCCATCACTTGTTTCTATGGTTATGTCATCGCTTTGTCTGGAATGTTCCACAGTATGACATTAAACAGCTCTACCTCACATTTATTAAATTACAGGTGGGTTTACAGCTCAAAAATACCTAGAAAAACAAGCATTCTCACTGTGAGCAGGGTCGTCTCTCCACAGATCTGACCTGTAACTCGGCTTGGTTTGGTCTCCATGTAGATAGAAACGTTTAATAGACCTTTTTCACAACAGCTAGAAGTTAATGCTTTTCTAGGGCAAAATATCTGTTGAAATGTCTCACGTATTTTCCACCAGCTTCATAAATCTGCCCCATCACCAAATCTTCATCCAACAAGGTCGACAAAGAACATATTCTGTCTGTGAAGAATTTATCCACAACTATCAAGGTAAGAAAGATGAAAACGTAAAGCCAAAAACGTAAAGGCGAACAACGACGACGCATTAGTGAACTACTCCTGAGCAAAACTAATGTTATGGGCATGAATAAAACATAAGTAACTTGTTCACTCAGACTAATTCTAGAATGAAAATAAAAAAATCAATTTCATGATGTAGATATTTGCATAAACAGAGATTTGTGCAGTTTAAATGTCATCTGTGAACATCTGTAGCATTCAAACTGCACAAATCTTTCTATCTATGCCAATATCTATCATCATGAAATAGATTTTTTATTTTAATTCTAGAATCAGTCTGAGTTACTTATTAACGAATTACTTATTACTTATGTTTCATCTTTTATTCTTCATGGACAGAATATGTTCTTTGTCGACCTTGTTGGATGAAAATTTGGTAATGGGGCAGATTTATGAAGCTGGTGGAAAATATGTGAGACATTTTCACAGATATTTTGCCATAGAAAAGCATTAACCAGAAGTGACGTTTACTTTACATCGCAGTGCTTCCGGTCGTTGTGAAAAAGGTTTAACGCCATACTGTAAAACATTCCAGACAAAGCAATAAGCATTTGAGGGACTACTACCAGAAAAGCTACACAATGCACCTTTAATCAAATTATCTTCCATAGATTGAAAAAAGTGTAAAAGTTTAGTTACAAAGTCTTTTGATTGATTGCTCAGTATATACAGAATAGCCATTTCGTTAGCAGTGCTGTTGACATTTGGGAGGGTCTTGAGCAGAGTCTCTTCAGTCGTTTTGCCCTTCTCGGTCGGGGGCGGGAGCTGTAAGGTGCAGGGAGTGTTGGGCATCCAGCCACCAAAGTCAAACTACAACACAATACAAAATTTGTCACAAAAATATATTCATGGAGTCTGAAATCTGCTCTCAAATCTATAGAAAAACAACAGTCCCAGAATTTATAGTTAAAAGTTTCTGCAGTAAACTAAACACAAGTTTTAAAGTGAAGATGTTTTTGGTACTCTTGTCTTCTGCAGCTCAGACAATTTTGTTTTGTAAAAGCTTTGTGCATTTGTTGACAGAGAAGATGTCTGTGCTTTTCTTTCAGCTGGATGTAACAAAAGTTAAATTTTTCGGCACAATGATTGCTTTTCCGTGGCTTTTTGCATTGCATTAGAGCGTGGTAGCATTGTTGGTCTCACAGTCTGCCTGGCAGTTGGGGCTGTACCAGTACTGGAACGATATCCAAATCTCTCAGTACGATATTTTCACGATATGCATCTCATGATATGATATTTACTGCGATATTTTGGAGAGGCTGATATAATGGTAGATAGTTCACTTTTTTGCTTTTAAAATACCTAGACAAGATTTGGTGCGAATCATTACTGTCATAATCCCAAGAATTAAAAAACATATTTCTTCATGTTGTCTGCACTGAAATGAATCATGGGATATGTAGTTCTCTATGTTTATTAGCTGTTGCTACTATAAAAGAATACATTTAAACAAAGGAACTTCCATCTATCCATTTTCTTCCGCTTATCTGAGGCCGGGTCATGGGGGCAACAGTCTAAGCAGGGACTCCCAGACTTTCTTCACCCCAGACACTTCCTCCAGCTCCTCTGGGGGGACCGCGAGGCATTCTCAGGGCAGCCGAGCGACATATTCCTTCCAGAGTGTCCTGGGTCTTCCCCGGGGCCTCCCGGTAGGACATGCCTGGAACACCTCCTAGGAGGCATCCTGAACAGCTGCCTGAGCCACCTCAACTGACTCCTCTCGACATGGAGGAGCAGCAGCTCTACTCTGAGCTCCTTCCGTGTGAGTGAGCGCCTCCCCCTATCTCTAAGGGAGCAACCGGCCACCCTGCAGAGGAAACTTATTTCGGCCTCTTGTATTCGTGATCTCGTCCTTTTGGTCATTACCCAGAGCTCATGACCATAGGTGAGGGGAGGAACGAAGACTGACTGGTCAATTGAGAGCTTTGCCTTTTGGCTCAACTCCCGCTTCACCACAATGATCCGATACAGTGACCGCATCATTGCAGCTGCTGCACCAATCCGCCTGTCAGTCTCATCCTTCATCCTCCCCTCACTCGTGAAACTCGCAAAGGAACACCCCACAATATTATTGTGAGACTTTTTCGATACAATATCACAATATTTTGGTTATTGCTACATCCCTACTGAAAAGAGCACTATATATTTCATTTTGTGATCAGGGGTAATGATCACATGATTATCACTGCTGTAATGATTAATATGAGTGGTAAACAGTGGAGGTATAAACTACACATGGTAACTGTGGTACAGGCAATGGAAGTTTATAAGTTTTTTCTTCCCACTCCTTTTCGAGCTTAACTTATTGTGTTGTAAATATGCAGCACACCTATTACGTGAGCTTTAATTAGGGATTTTTTATTTTATTTTAAATCAGTCAATCACATATCCAGATTAATAAATATGTACAACTCAAATCAGAGTACTACACATATCAATCTAGTGTCAATCAAGTTAACTACAATCTATTCACTCACTTGAGAGTTGCTAACAGCCGCATGCTGAGCCGAACATGTAAATATAACCATGGTGACAAACTTGACCAGTTCATCCATCGTGCCGAAACTTTGTGGGAATCCTATAATGAAAAAAAGACAGAGTTAAAGATGTGCAACAAACTGACAAAACTGTACATACTTTTTCATCACTTTGTTGAGCTCACCCTTGTGCCGGGACATAGGACAGTGTTCACAGATGCTCTGGATCCACTTCTGCAGTTCTTCGTCTTCTTGTATGCTTTTGTTGCTTTTATAGTAGCAGCTTAGCATCCCTGTAACAAAGCTATCATCTATCATGTTAGTAAACTCTTTCAACACTTTACCACTCAGTAATTTCTGTTTTTTGGTGTATATACTGTGAGAAAAATCATACAATTTTCCCATTGTGCAGAGTCTGCTACTTTATCTCCACCCAACTGTTGGTGTAAGTGAATATACGTATGCCACCTCCTTAAGATTCTTGACACGACCAGACCAAGGACATTATAGTTTGAAAACCCTTATAGGTGCATTCCGTAACTTTTCTGGTGGAAGTGCCAGCAACAGCATATTTATTTCCATGGAGATGTTACTGCCTTGTCTGGAATGATTCATAGTTTGGTATTAAATCTTTTTATCTTCATGGAGGCCGAACCACACCAACTTACAGGTCAGATCTGTGGATAGGCAGCCCTGCTCACAGTCAGAATGCCAGTTTTTGTAAGTATTTTTGAGCTATAAAACCACCTGTAATTTAATAAATGTAAGGCATAGCTGTTTAATGTCATACTGTGGAACATTCTAGGCAGAGCAATGACATAGAATAGAAACAAGAACCTGATGGACTCTCAACCAAAAAGTTACATAGTGCACATTTAAGTACAGTTTGATATCCAACTTGAACTGAACTAAAATCTGGATTACCGTTATTTCCAGACTATAAGACACTGCTTTTTTCTCACACTGTGAAACCTTCGACTTAAACAATGATGCGGCAAATATATGGACAGATTATTTGTCTGTGCAGTTAACATTATCTAGTGATGTTTTCAGCACTCAAACAGTTTACCGTAAAGTGTTAAAATACATTATGTTGCTAGATAAACATTAGTGAGGGGGAAACGTCTTACCCATTTGCGCAAATGACAAGAAGAAATGTCTCAAACTTTAGTAGCCGGACATCCACTGATACCGGATTGATAGAACTAACCCTGCCCCAGAGAGAGTCTGAAATCTGCTGAAACCCTACAAGACACTGACATGATCTCAGACAGGACAGCGGCTCTTTCTGCTGGAGACATGCGCAGTAGACCGCGGGGAGAGACGGGAGGGATGCGCCGAGGAAGATGCTCATTTGATTGTGTCTTGAACAGTTATTTTGCGCTTCATGCGCACACCCTCCTCATGGAAAACACATGAAGAAATGCAGATGATGCAGCTTTTAAGTTCAGGCCAATTGATCTGTCTGTCGAAGAAAGAAACAGAGCTGCTGGACGTGAGCTCGGCATCAATAAGCCAATGGTGATGGCAGCGTGACGAACATGACTCAAAGTAAAAAGACGACAAAAGCTTTCAGAGGCGATAAAAGCAGACGGCCTGAACTTGAAAACATTCTTGAAGACACTTGAGGCTTATATTCAGGTGCGGCCTATATATGTACAAATTTGTCTTTTTAAAAAATTGAATAGTCCTGAAATTATGGTATAAACATTTGCTGCAACAATCTGGTTATACCATTTGTATTTACGGCTGACCATACTTTAATACCTGTGTATGATTTCCCAAAGCCTGAGTCCATCGTCTCTGTAGTAGTAGTTGGGCACAGACTCCATCCCTCTCTCCGCGATGTTGTCAGGTAAACAGAGGGAGCTGTAGGTCAGGGAGGACATGGCCCGGTCCAAGATGGTGAACATACCCTCTCTTCCAGATGCCGCATGCTACAGTCAGGAATATAATTAAATTTTCATAAAGGCATTACATAAAAATAATTGTTCATTATTTAAAACTGACCTTTGCAAAAAACCCATCTGGTGATATCAGTGTTTGTCTGGCCAGTATGTTGATTTGCAGAGTGTATCGAGTGTGAGGCATAAGAAGCTAGCGGGAAAGAACAGTCATTAGAGGTCCTGGAACTGATTTTTTTATTTATTTATTTTTTAACCTTTCCCCATCTTTTTTTTATTTATTATGATTTACTCCTTCATATCAGTTATTATTATAGACATATTGCCAAAGCAAACACAGACAAATGACAATATTGAACCCAGATCGTACATCAGTTATCTCCAAAAAAGTGAGATACAATTGATAAATAACTGGAAGACTTCTTCCTGTGGTTTGTTTCTATGGATATGTCATTGCTCTGCCTGGAATGTTCCACAGTATGACATTAAACAGTTCTACTTTACATTTATTCAATTACAGCTGGTTTTCATGGCTCGAAATTAAAGAGGCAAGTGACAAGGACAACTGACCACGATGACTGACATCGGCGACTGACATTGGGGACTGACAAGGACGACTGACAAGGAGGACTGACGAGGGCAACTGACATTGGGAACTGATGGGGCGACTGACAACAAAGACTGACAAGGGCGACTGAAAAGGCGACTGACGAGGGCGACTGACGAGGACGAATGACGAGGATGACTGACAACGATGACTTACAAGAACAACTGACAAGAATGAGTGACGAGGGCAGCTGACAAGGATGACAGACAAGGATGACTGACTAAGACTGATAAGGGCGACTGGCAAGGGCGACTGGCAAGGGCGACTGGCAAGGGCGACTGACAAGGACGACTGAAAAGGACGACTGGCAAGGAGGACTGGCAAGGAGGACTGACAAAAGTGCCTGACAAGGGTGACTGACGAGGGCGACTGACGAGGGCGACTGACGAGGGCGACTGACGAGGGCAACTGGCGAGGGCAACTGGCGAGGGCGACTGGCGAGGGCGACTGGCGAGGGCGACTGACAAGGAGGACTGACGAGGGCACCTGACATTGGGAACTGATGGGGCGACTGACAACAAAGACTGACAAGGGCAACTGAAAAGGCGACTGACGAAGGCGACTGACGAGGACGACTGACAACGACGATTTACAAGAACAACTGACAAGAATGAGTGACGAGGGCAGCTGACAAGGACGACAGACAAGGACGACTGACTAAGACGACTGACAAGGGCAAATGATGAGGGCGACTGACATGGGTGATTGGCAAGGAGGACTGACAAAGGCGCCTGACAAGGGCGACTGACAAGGAGGACTGACAAAGGCGCCTGACAAGGGCGACTGACGAGGGCGACTGACGAGGGCGACTGACGAGGGCGACTGACGAGGGCGACTGGCGAGGGCGACTGGCGAGGGCGACTGGCGAGGACGACTGGCGAGGATACTCCAGGGCAGTTGTTTTCACATGAGACCCTACATCCACATGCATTGACAGGCCTTGGTTGCCTGAGCTATAGGATGCAATATTACTTAATCTAAACCTGTTTTACACAAACAAGGGCACTGGTGGTTCCATCTGGTCATTAGAAAAACACCTTGCAGTTTAATTTAAAGATGTCTGCCAGTGCCTACACACCTATAATAATGCCATTACAGTGCTGGGAAGTAACTTGTATCATTTAAGTGGAGGTAATATGATTGATTGAGGTTCAGGAGCAGGACTACGCCTCAACCTCCCCCTGCTCCTCTCCAGCAAACCCAAAAGTCCTATTTATACAGGCCTATCGTGACAACACCATCTGTTTCTGCTCTCGACCCCCTATGTCCCGCCCCGTGTTTCTTGTTGATCCTTCAGCCTGAAGACATTTACAAAGGAGGGGGGTCCTGAATTGGCCGGGCTGACCACCTGAGACAGAGCCCCCAAAAATAACATCTAGCCATCGTCAATATTTTTTTATCATATTTCATTGTTGTGGCATAGTCCTTCCTAGTGAAATGCAACACAGTGTAAAAGAAGTTGTAAACAGTCAGAATATAGTCCCCTGATTGGACAATGTATCAGAAAACACATTTTAATGCAGTATTCAGTATTCTGTAATTAAATATATTTTCACACTTCCTACCACAGAGCAATTTATTTAGTTATTATTGAGTAATTTTGAAACTAGAACGTACCCTCAGTCAGTTTGGTGTGCACCCAGGCCTGAATACTAGTTTAAATCAATACAGGATTTTAAAACAAAAGCATTTTCATCTCATCTTGTTTGTATTCTGCATGTTACCTTGTACAGAGGATGGACACTGGACACGTTCCTCAGTAAAGCCACAGTGAAGACTTCAGCGAGCAGGTGAGTGCGCAGCAGGTGCACGTTCAGCTCATGGTCATGAAAATCTGCACTTCTCACAAAGGTCTTGGCCAGTAACCAGTCGTACTCTGAGTCAGTGGGGAAAAAGATGGGGTTGTCTTTTGATGGAGTCTGTTTGAGCTAGAGATGGATTATGTATTAGTACAAATGAGTGAGCTTGTACTTTTTAATTTATTTTTTATCTAAATATCAGATAAACATATTTATTTTCTTACCTGAATGGCGATAGGCTTTAGCTCGTCATCAGGAGTTTTGTGAAGAAGAACAAGAGGAGCTGCTAAATACTGTTTTTTCCCATTGATAAAGTTGGTGCTTACTCCATCCAGGATCTTGTAGTCACACAGGAAAATATTTCCTTTCTGTTTAATGTAAAATTGTATATTGAATATGTCACAATAATTACAAACAGTTACTGCAATTATAATTCTCACAAACCAGGAAGTATGCAGACTGGAAGTAGATGACATTAAAGAACACATATGCATTACTGTGGCGGTGTCCAAATGTCCACCCTAGTCTCTAACCCCTCATTCACTACATTGGCCCGCACTCTTTAGCGCCCTTTACAGTTCACTCATTCACAGAGAGATCTGGTCACAGCTCACTACATTCAGGTCTCTTGACTCTGGTGTTGAGGCATAGACAGTCCCCAGTGGCTGAAATATGTCACAACATTGAGTCTATAATATGGCCAGAACAAATATTTACTTTTAAAAATATATTAATATTTTAAATATATCAATAAAACAAAAAGATTGTATGAAATAAATATGAATCCTAGTCTGAACCAAGACTAAACCAGGACTAAAACAGGACTGAACCAAGACCAAACCAGGTTTAAACCAGGTCTAAACCAGGACTAATCTTGGACTTCAGAGAGAGAGGGGGAGAACCCCAAGCCCGCAGTGCAGGGTGTCTGTAAAGTGCACTGACGGCTCTGCTTAGCTCCATGAGGCAAGGAACTCTGCGCCGGTCCTTTCTCCCGCTGTCACCCCACAGTCTGTGCGGGCGCACCCAACACTCAGCCCCGGTTCAGTCCCGGTTCAGTCCTGGTTCAGTCCTGGTGGTGTCGACAGTAAAGTGATAATTTCATTGAACAGGGCAAGGTGATTCCTTACTGTGCACATGGCAATACAAATTGAATCTAGTGCCCTGACATTATAGAGTTTTCTCCCCAACACAAAAGTCAAACTCCGCCTATGTGTCTGTCTTCATTGCCTGATCTTTATTTTAGCTCCACAAAACCCACACAGAGATAAAACTGGACAGGAAGTAGTGACGCTAACAGTGAGGTTTCAGGGCACCATTGTGCACAGAGCCAGACTTTATAAACTCCACCTCTGTTTCCAGTGATGTATTTAAGCACTGTAAATAACAAAGGGCATGAACAATGTGGAAATAAACAAATGAAGCCCTTTGGCCCTGGGAATGTTATGCCAATACAGACAACACAATTTGACTGCAGAATCCAGAGTCCAGTTATAGTTTGAGCTTAAAAACTGCGCAGGTTCACATTTTTACCTTTGATGCAACAATCCAGGGAAAATTCAAACAGAGCATTTTTGAGTGCTCAAAGAAGACAACTTTGAATTAACAGTTTAATGAAACAAGCTTAAAGGTGCATTATGTAGCTTTTCTGGTGGAGGGTTCATCACCTGCTTGTTTCTATGGACATAATTTCTCTACCTGGAATGTTCCACAGTGTGACATTAAACACCTCTCCCTTACATTTGTTCAATTACTGTACATAGCTCAAAAATATATAGAAAAACTGGCACTCCGACTGTGAGTGGGATTGCCTCTCCATAGACCTGAACAGTAACTTGGTTTGATTTGGTCTCCATGAAGATAGAAAGGTTTAATGCCATACTGTGAAACATTCCAGACAAACAAACAAACAAACAAAAAAACGAACAAAAAAACATTCCAACAAAAAAAAAAAAAGCATTGGACGGACCCTCCCCCAGAAAAGTTACACAATGTACCTTTAAATGAAGCAAAATACAACCCTAGGGGAAATATTTGTTGATCAGACAACAACAAAACACGGTTAAAGCTCTAAAAAAGTACATTTTGCATAATGTTTTCTTTAATGCTATTTAAAGCAAGTCCAAAGAGAGAGTGTGATGGAGCTTTATGAAAACTACCTTCATCTCCTCTGTCAGGTAAACACCACCATGGGCATAGACCATGTCCTCAGTGACAGGGAAGTTCTTGGGCAGACAGGTGCAGCGCCGGATCAACATAGGGTTCACTCCATTCAGAAACTGGGCACCAAAGCAAGCGTCATCCTTCCAGTGCCGTCGTATGTATCCTGACAGAGGTATAATTATTATTTTAATGACACACAAAATGGTGCCATAGAACTGCCTGACACCTGCTGCCGTAACCATGCTGTAATAATAGACTGTATACATGGATAGGTTTAATTTACAGTGTTGCTAAGCGCCTGCTTCCTGCCAGACCAGGATTGGCTCTTTGGTTGCTATGATACTCGCGGTTGAATTTCCAAATATGGAACTCCGATCCAAATTTGCCCCATAACAGCGGCCTCGATGAGCTTCATTTGACTGGAGCCGAACACTACAGATGACGTCACTCTCCAGTAGTTCAATCTTTGGTCATGAATTATCATAGGCAGCCTCGCGTCCATCCATCTACCACAGAACTATAATAAAATCTGGAAGATGAATCCAAGATGGCACTGTATTGTTTTCAATGGCCTGTGCTCAGTGGCGCAATGGCCCAATAAAAAATCTCCATTTACTTCCTCAATAGGGTCTAGTGCCTCCCACCCGTGTGGCATCTGTAATATGCACGGCGTGGAGTGTTAGGACCAATCAGAGCCAGAGCTGCTAGAGCGGAACTAGAGTGAGCTCAGAGCGGGACTAGACTTAGTCTTACAAAGCGAACTTTTAGGCACTTTGATGGAGTTTATGTTGTGAAAATAGAAAATATTTAAAAATCCCTATAAAATCCGACCTTTGTAAAAGTTGTTGCCCTCTCAGCCAAACACAGGCAGTTTGAATTCCCAAAAAATGCATTGTGATTCTCTGGGAGAATTCTTTCTGGGCCCAAGCTCCTGGGAGCTGCAGTACCTGGAGCAGCCACTAGTCGGTCTGGAGCTGGGACAGGGTTGGGGATAGAGGCCTTATCCAGTGTTTATTATAGATCCATGCCATCTACCCTATAGTCACTGTGGCTGTAGCTTATTTGAACAAATCAGGTAACAGTAAAATGATTTTCAGTCTCTGGAAAAATACTATTTAGTACAATTTAGGACTAATGAATCGTTCTTTATGCATTCCATGACACAGTTTCCCAGGGGCAGACAGATGAGAGCACGGACTTTGTGACTTTACATGACCGCCAATATGTGTCTTACACAAATCTTTCAGTTTCTGGGTGTCTGAGTAAATATCTAAAAACAGTAAAACTCTGCAGAACTTTTGAATATTACTAGTCAGGTCCAGTTGTATTGTAATATACCTGATGTGGTTGTTTCGTGATACTGAATGCTTTCAATGCTATTAAAGCTGGACCAGTTCAACTTGCAAACTGAAAAACTGGTCACATTTATTTCTGCCAGGCTGAAAAGACAGAAAGTTCATACAAATGATCAATTTTGAGAAAAAAAAAGACGACGAAGAAAAAAGAACTCACCCTTTAATAACTGATGAATCAAACTCCATTTCCTTTGTGAAGGAGAACCTGACTTCACAGGGCAAAGTGTGGACCCTGTCTACTTTGATGCAGTGAGGTAAACCGTCTTTGTACAGATCCCAGCTTGAAGATACAACAGCAACATGTCAAATGTGTTTATACAGAACATTATGAGCAGTTTTTTTTTTTTTTAATCAAGAGTACATTTTTGGTGAAGGACAGAACTGATATTAAGGTTTCAAGCCTGAATAAATGTGTGGTGGCTTTGATTAAATGGCTCTGCTTTATGTTTCAATATGAGACCATTAATGAAGAAAATGTGGACACCTCTGATTTAAAGGATCCATATTGCGCTATTTTCTGATCTATGTCATAATGTCGTTTCCTCATCAAAACAGACCTAAGATGTGTTTTGTTTCATTCACATGTTTAACACACAAGCCCTGCATATTTAGGTTTTACTTAGTTCTTCTCTCAAACAGAAAGCACTGTTCCACCGTGTGACGTCATGTGGTGAAAACTGCAGCTTCATGGCATCACAATATTTTGAGGTTTGGAGATGTAGACTAATAATAAAGGATTACTCAAATGTGTGAATGAAACGAAACACAACTCTGGATCTGTTTAGAGGAGGTAACATCACAAAACATAACATTTTAACATTCTGAGTAATGTAGGACCTTTACAGCATAACAGGAGCTTTGATAAATTCTGAACATTGTCGACAAATACATACCAGTATAATTTTTTTCTAGTGCTTAACTCCCTCTTTCTTGCGTGTCTAGCCAGAAGATTTTGATCACCAGCATTGTTCATGGCTTTAAAGGAGGAAAAATATTGCATTATACATACATACAGTTACTTACACCAACTTTATTATATTTCTAACCGAGAAAGAGTTAAAAAACACAAACTAGTATTTAGTTGAATTATTTTCGATATTCTAAATGGCCAACATTAAGTGATTTTCTGATCTGTGTTATATTGTTGTTTCCTTATCAACATAAAAACTTACATTGAGTTGTGTTTTTTTTGTTTTGTTTCACACATTGTTTAACACACAAAGCCTGCACTCTTTTCTCTACTCTTCTCTCTAATTTTAAGATTTCTATTTATGCTCTGATCTGTTTGTATTGTGACTTTAATGTTTTTCTTATTCTGTAAAACACTTTGAATTACTTTGTGTACGAATTGTGCTGTACAAATAAACTTGCCTTACCTTGCGTATAGTTCTTCTCACACGGAAAATGATTTTAAATGTAGGCCTAACTAATAACAATTACATGGGGTGTAACAGTATCCAAATCTCTCTGTACGATATTTTCACGATATACATCTCACCGTACGATATTTATTGTGATATTTTGTGGAGGCTGACGAACAAAACTGTGAAAATGCTACTTTTTCCTCTTAAAATGCCTTGACAAGACTTGCTCGAAAGACTTAAAAGTGCTTAGAAATGTTATTTCTTCTTGTAGTTCTGCACTGAAATGGAGCAAAGGATCATGGTCTATGTAGTTCCCTCAATTTTTTTATTTTTTTTAGCTATTGCTGCACCATAACTCTTCATTTAAGCAAAGAGGCTTGTAATTCTATATATTGTGATGGTCCATGATATTATTTTGAGATGATACGATATCATTATTGTTATATTATTGTTACATCCCTGCAGTTACATGGTTAGAATTAGACTCAATTACAAGTACAGGTGGAAAAATCTACTTAAAAATATAATTACCTAAAAAATCTCTATCACAAGGTGGAAGCTGTTTAATCTTTTGAGATGTAGATGGACACTGAACATGCTTGAACATGTGTGAATGAAACAAAATACAACAAAACACAAGTCCGGGTATGTTTCTGAAGAGATAACAACACTCTCACATGGGTTAAGAGTCAAATTTGTGTAATATATTGTGTCTGTTTGATTCAAAGTCGCTCATTTTATATAAAAAGTAACACCAACCTGTCCCCTCTCTAAACCAGTGAACTTCATCATCCTCAATCCAGTTGTAGATGGGGAATGTGTAGGTTACATCTTCTGGGCACTGAATTACAACTTTTTCAACAAACCACAGACTGCGTGGACTTATCACTTTCTCAATTTCAACCAGCACCAGTTTACCAAGAGAACTGGGGCAAGTCAATGTAAACTTGGTCTCCTATTAAGTCTTAAAAGAGTTAGTAAAATTGAGTATTCGATTCAGAAAAAAGCGTTGTAGTCTCACTCACCCTTCTACGAAGAAATGACCAACTTCCCAAAATCTTGATACGTTTACTGTCTCCATCTTCACCGAAAAATCTGAGGGAGACTGTGCTGCAAGTAGTGTTGTGATATATTGTTCCTTTATACTCAGACGTTTCCATTTTAAGAAACTACTCTTTAATTCAGACTTGAATGCAAAAATGAACAGCTTATCTTAAAGAATTTGCTGCAGGGTATAATGCCACTTCCTCTGTAGCTACAACTGTTACAATGCTTTCTCTTTCTCATACTTATGCCACGGTGTAAAAGGAAGTGCCACCACAAGAAAGTATTATTTAGGCATTTGGAGACAAAGGAGGCGGGGTGAAATAAGGTGAGTGATCTGGTTTCCCTAGAGAATCAGACCAGAGTCAAAAAGTCAAATAACTGGTAACTGGTAAGGAGGAAGTGAGGATGAAGGAAAGCAGGGGATATGTTTTTTTTTTTTGCAACTAAACTGTGGTTATAAGTGTCTTAACTCACCTTGCCCCAGTGTCTGTGTACACTGGTGTATGAGTGAGTGTATGAATAAGTGTGTGAATGGGTGAGTGGTTTTGAGTGCCTTGAAAGTCGTGTTATCTCTGCTCTTTGCCGATGTTGTCCCACTGAAATGATCAGACCCTGACCTGCATCTTATTTTGGGCTTGTTTCTCCATCAGAAAAGGGAAGCAGTCATCTTCTTGAAATGTGTTTATGTTATAATTTACTAGGGATGTCGTGATATCGAATCGTCAAAAGTCTCACAATAATATCGTGGGGTGTCTCAATATACCGAATCACAAGTTCCTTTGCTTAATTGCATTGTTTTATAGTAGCAACAGCTTATAAACCTCGGCAGTGTTCGGAAGGTTACTTTTAAAATGTATTCCCATACAGATTACAGATTACATACACCAAAATGTAGTTTGTAGCGTAATCCATTAAATTACTTAAAGTGAGTAACATAATCTGAATACTTTGGATTACATGATTTGCTGTAGAGAAGCAAAGACGAGGAAATCGTAACATAAGAAGTTTTATCTGCTAAAAGAAAATAAAAAGCCCAGACTTTACTAAACCATATTAAAAATATTATTGATAGAAGAGGAGGAGACACGTCCACACAGCACGATTTAGTCCTGTTAAATCCTGTTTTATATCTGGTTTTAGACCTGGTTTAGACCTGGTTTAGACCTGGTTTTAGACCTGGTTTAGTCCTGGTTTAGACCTAGTTTAGACATGGTTTTAGACCTGGTTTAGACCTGGTTTAGACCTAGTTTAGACCTAGTTTAGACCTGGTTTATACCTGGTTTATACCTGGATTAGACCTGGTTTTAGATCTGGTTCTAGACCTGGTTTTAGACCTGGCTTAGACCTAGTTTAGACCTAGTTTAGATCTAGTTTAGACCTGGTTTTAGACCTGGTTTAGACCTGGGTTAGACCAAGTTTAGCCCTAGTTTATAAATGGTATATACCTGGCTTTGACCTAGTTTAGACCTGGTTTTAGACCTGGTTTAGTCCTGGTTTAGATCTAGTTTAGACCTGGTTTAGACCTGGATTAGACCTAGTTTAGACCTAGTTTAGATCTAGTTTAGACCTGGTTTTAGACCTGGTTTAGACCTGGGTTATACCAAGTTTAGCCCTAGTTTATAAATGGTATATACCTGGCTTTGACCTAGTTTAGACCTGGTTTTAGACCTGGTTTAGTCCTGGTTTAGATCTAGTTTAGACCTGGTTTAGACCTGGAGTAGACCTAGTTTAGACCTAGTTTAGATCTAGTTTAGACCTGGTTTTAGACCTGGGTTAGACCTAGTTTAGACCTAGTTTATAAATGGTATATACCTGGCTTTGACCTAGTTTAGACCTGGTTTTAGACCTGGTTTAGTCCTGGTTTAGATCTAGTTTAGACCTGGTTTAGACCTGGATTTGACCTGGATTTAGACCTGGTTTAGTGTCTGGCAATGAGTGGAATTACAAAAAAAAAAAAAGGGGGGAAACCCTGTTAAAACGGGAAAATCCCGCCGTGTAATTCACTTATTTCAACAAAGTAACTGTAATCGAATTACCACTCACTGAAACAGTAACTGTAACTGAATACAGTTACTCATAATTTGTACTCTGATTACGTAACGCCGATACATGTAATCTGTTACTCCCCAACACTGAACATTGGTAACTACATATCCCATGATTCATTTCTGTGCAGATAACATGAAGAAATATGTTTTTTACTTGAATTCTTGAGATTGTGACAGTAATAATTCACACCGAATTCTTGTCAGGGTATTTTAAAAGCAGAAAAGCGTCCCATCTATACAATTATATCAGCCTCTCCAAAATATCGCAATAAATATCGTACCGTGAGATGCATATCTTGATAATATCATATTGAGTAATTTGGATATTGTTAAATCCCAATAATTTACTTAATTCATTTCCTCTTCTTCCACAGACATAATATATTTTTAGTAACAGCACAAAACAACACGACACGATTAAAACATGTTTCAAATATCTCAGAACAAGAACAAGAATTCAGCCTGGAGACACAACACATTTCTTTTATATGTTTTTTTATTATTATTAGAAAATTAGATTCAACTGATACTATATTTGATTATATACATACATCATGCTCTCACTGTATTATAGGGAGAATTTTCTGAGAGTCAAAAAGCAGAAAAACATGGGCTCAGTCTAACCCCGAAGAGTTTTAGAGAGACACACTGTTTTCCATTTTTTTGGGCTGCATGTACGTGTATGGTAACGGCAGAGTTTTGTTTCTGTTGTCAATATCTTCATCCAAGGCTTTTAACTCTTTTGCAAAATCTTCCATCAGCTGGCAGCTCTTGTCCTCGGTGAAAAGTTCTTGGGGGTAACTGCCAAGAGAAACCTGAGAAAACAAAATACATAAATTGATCATTGATACTTTGGAGCTGCTGTCGTCAACATTTCCCGGGGGTGTGAAGCTAACTGGAGGCACTGCTCTGTTTGAAGCTCTGTTACTCCTATTTGACTTAATCTGAGCTTTATGTTCATGCAGCGTGAACCAGAAAGAGCTGATTTGGTTTAAACTATGAAAGATGAGACAATTTGTGTGGTTAAAAAAGTCTCTCACACACAATTACAATCCCAAACTTCAGTGAGAAAGCATATTCTAGAAATCTTGGTGTAATTTTTGATTGAAATTTTTAATTTGAAAAGAATGTAACATCTGTTCTTAAATTAAGTTTTTATCATTAAGGGTTTTAAGCAAATCAAATCAGACATTTCACATCTGCACTTTGAAAAGGCCATTCATGCATTTGTGACCTCACCACTCGATTACTGTTACTCTGAGGTGTCAAAGTCAAATTCACAGAGGCCAAAATTAAAAACTGGGACTAAGTCGTGGGCCAAACTAAATATTTATTGAAAAATTTCAACAACATCTACATGTTTTAATTAATTAATTATTCATTCACTAAACACTCAGTTTTCTCTTCTAACAAGATATGCAATGTTAAACCTTTTCTTATTAAAATAAATGTTTAATAATAGTTGTGCTCAAACATTGAATCCAGAACAAGCATAATATAAAATAATAACAACATTTTAAATTAATAATGTCTCTATTGTCTATTTGTAGCTGGCGGGCCAGATCTAATACATGTTTGATATGATCTTGCGGGCCAAATGTAATTATATTCCAGGCCAAATTTGGACCCCAGGCCTGAGTTTGACATGTCTGCTGTAACTCTTTGTCTACTGTATTTACTAGGCCAGTCACCTACGGGGTCCAGAATGCAGCAGCTTGCCTTTTCACTGGAACGAAGCAGAGGGACCACATCACTCCTGTTCTTAAATCCCTGTATTGGTTCCCTGTACATTTTAGAATCCATTTAAAAATGTTTAATTATTGTTTTTAATGGCATGGCACCTTCTTATTTATCTGACCTCCTCCAGCCCGCAGGACCGGACTGTGGAACACTTTTGCACAGTCACTGGAGCACTTTAAATCCTTGCTCAAAACATACATTTTCTCCTTGGCGTTTGCCCACAGTTAGGAAGAGACACCTTGGCACCTCACTGTTATTATTATTTTTATCATTATTATTCTGCTTGATTTGCTTATTGTATGTTTTATTTCACTGTAAATGTTGTTCAGTACTTTGGTAAGCTTTGACTGTTTTAAATGTGCCATACATATAAACTTGATTTGATTTGACAAGCTGGTCAACATTTTTTTGCACAGTTTTTTTTAAGTTAGTCTCTCATCTTTTTTGCTGAAAATTAAACTCCTAAACAGGACCATGAACGCTTTCAGGAGCTCAATCACAGGCTCCTGAAAATATATTATTTACATCATGCAAACTTTTTTTTACCATGCAGACTTTTTTTTGTCTGTCTGTCTATAAAGTACTGACATATTTTAGTGTCATGAAGAGGAAGACTTACAAACTCGGTGGACTGTGTGCTGAGGAGCTTCAGAACTCCAATGATGCGCACGGTGGTGTTGACGTCAGGCAGCGTCTGCAGCAGGGTGTGTTCATTCGCTCGGCCCTTTACGGTCGGTGGAGCCATTTGTAAGGAGCTTGGAAAGTTGGGCATCCAGGCACCGAAGTCCAGCTGCAATGTATCCACATCGGTCGGTAAATAATGAGTGATAATGTCTCTTGGAATATTTTTAAGTTTGAATAATTTAATTTAGGTCAATTTGGAGAGTATTAATGCCAAATGTTTACTCATTACAAACATCAGGGAGTTGTGTTTTGTTTCATTCACACAAGTTTAACACAAACCCTGCACATTTACTCTCAGTTCTCTCTAACAGAAAATATTGATGTCATGTGGTTATACAGGAAGTGCTTCACTTTGATTTTTAAACTCCAAACACCTTCACTAGAATCATTTGGAGAATTTCAGCCCTGGAACTGCCAATTTCTCCTGAGTTACCTTGAAAACTACCATGACGTGACATTACAAGGTGAAAATGAACATTTTGAGCATTGGAGATATAGAAGACTAATAATAAAGTGTTATTCAAACACATGTGAATGAGGTAACAACATTATAACATGACTTAAAGCTCACAAGAGTCAATTTAATGTATAACGGATGTAAAAACTCTTGAACTCACCTGTCCATTGTTGACAGCTGAGTGCTGGGCTGAGGAGGTGAAAATGACCATAGTGACAAACTTCACCACCTCTTCCACAGTACTGAAGCTCTGTGGGATTCCTGCAAAATCATTATTATTATTATAAAACATTGTACATCCATCTCATCCATTTTTTTATTTATTTATTTATTTTTTTTAATAATCTTGCTCCATGTCCTCTAAGGGAGTTTGTGAAAAGAAATTCAAACCAGACAACAAGAGCAGCTCTAGAGGTGGCTGCTCTGTGCCGTTTATTAAAAGTGCTTTTAGACACTATCGAGCAGCTCAAACGTGGACTACAGTGCCTGTTCATATACAAGAACTTTCAACAAACAACAAGCACATCAGTATCCCGATGATTCATCATATCCCGGTTATGGCAGTATTTTGGATACTGCGTATATACATGCACCATGACGAAACCGGGACACTCAAAAAACCTGATCATAACCGGGATGCTGATGTACATGTATACGCACTCGTTAGCAGGATGTCCTAAAGCAGGGATGTTCAAACTATGGCCCGGGGGCCAAATGTGGCCCTCCGACATATTTTTCTTGGCCCTCAGATTTCCAGGTGAATTTGCCCAAATTACCTTGCATCAATTTTTTTACTGCAAGTTTTTTTTTTTTTTTTAAATCTACCTTGATAAAGCTAATATTTTATATTTAGTGTGTGGTTTTAAGGATCTTAGCATGAATAAAGACTGATGGATCATTCTAACGTGTTAAACATTCACACATTTCATTTATTCCCTGTACTGAGCACAAGTCTACGGCCCTCGATCAGCGCTCTGCTTCGTCCGTGTTTAGATAGGTGGCCCTTGATGAAAAGAGTTTGGACACCCCTGTTCTAAAGCGTTAAAACAGTGGATATTCAATGGTCAAATATGTCATAATGTTTAACAAAATGACTATTTGTTTTATTATTGAGGGGTCTTGACTTTGAACTTCAAATGAACTGTCTGAAATGAATGGATAGTGAGTGTGCAAGTGTTATGTACTTTTGTGTGATTGTTGCTATAGTTGTCCTGTCCTGTCCTGTAGATGATTTGACATCAGCCTGTGTAGTATGAAGTGAGGTGGTATGTGCGTGAGTGGTGGTGGATGGTAGTAGCCTTGCTTCCATCAGTCTGCCCCAGGACAGCTGTGGTTACAATAGTAGCTTACCACCACCGTGAATGAAGGATGATCTGTAAAGCATCTTTGAGTGTTCAGAAAAGTGCCAATAAATGTCCCTTTATAAATGAATAAATAAATACGAACTCTTATGTAGGTATTGTGTGGTGTTAAGTGTGTTTTTTAAGCTCACCTGTTTCTGCTCTAGACAGGAAGCCATGCTCAAAAATGTCCTTGATATACATCTGCAGCTCAGAGTCTGCTTGGACCTCGTTGTCCGACTTGTAGTAGTGACGTATCACTCCATTCACAAACCTTTAAAGACATGAAGACATCAGAGCAAGCCATAATCCAAAGAATTAAGATTTAAAAGGGCTTCATAACAGTTATTTCAGTTATTTCAAAATAAGGAATTTAAGCAAAGTAATGTAAAGTAATGAGATCTGATATATTGAGATGGTCCACAATATTATTGAGAAACTTTGGATGATACGATATCACGATATTTTGGTTATTGTTACATCCCCAGTAAACAGTGATGGGAGTATTGTATTCAGAGTATTTAGTTGCATTTACGTTATAGTGTAAAAACGCACAAAAAAGCACTGAGACTAAAAAGGTCAAAAAGGCGGATTAAGTTGACTATCAAAATGTGACCAAATGTGAGGTCTTCTGGTAAAATTATTATATTAATTTAGTTTTTGTCTATTGCTGGCTTTCAGTAGCCAGGCTGGCGCCACCTAGTGCCTCCGCTCAATCAATTTTTTTCAAAGCGACTAGGTCAGGAATCTGAATACACTAGACAGTTTGTAAGAACCCCAGAAGTGTGAGTCTGGGCACTGATCAATCATCGAAGAGCCATACATTCTGTGTTGGCAAAGATTCCCGAGATCGAGGATTTAAAGCTGGAACAAAGAGAGTGTTTGGTGAAAGGGGAAAGACGTGATTGCCCTTCTTCCTACAAGATTTGGGAAAAGTTTAATATACCAGTTAGCCCTGTTAGTGGCACATTACATATGCCACAACCAAACAGTAGTGACTGGTTATTAAAAAAGCTCCCGACTACTGTGGAGTGAACGAATCGTAATGTTGAGAGGTCAGACGGTTTCCATGAAGTGGAACCGGCTCATGAATCAGGCTAGGGTTTCAGATGACATCTCTACCATCTATAGGCCAGTGTTATTTAATGCAGATGGGGGCAGGTAAAATGAATATTGTGCAATTGCAAATTTGTGCTGCAATATAACACAATCATGGGTCTAGTCAATATAAATCAATAGAAATGATCAGGTTCCATATTTAGGAAAGCACCAATATGATTCACTGTTCTTATGTTTCTTGTATTATCTGTTTATTGTTCTTTTGACTTGTTATTAACTTAATATTGGTTTTGTAAGGCGTCTTTGAGTGTCCTGAAAAGTGCTCTATAAATACAGTGTTGTTTTATTACTTATACTTATTATTTGGAAACCATGCCTGTGTATGATGTCCCAAAGCCTGAGTCCATCATCCCTGTAGTAGTAGTTGGGCACAGACTCCACTCCTCTCTCTGTGATTTCCTCAGGGATACAGAGGGAGCTGTAGGTCACAGAGGACAGGGCTCTCTGCAGGACGGTGATCATGCCCTCTCCACCACAAGATGAGTTCTGGAACAATAGAAATATCATTAGTTTGTGTGTATAGTGACTTAAAGGTGCATTGCGTAACTTTTCTGATAGAAGGTCTCTCAAAAGGCTTTTCTCCATGGAGATGTTATTGTTTTATCTGGAAAGTTTGAAAGTATGGGATTTAACCTTTCTATCCTCATGGAGACCAAACTAGACCAAGCTATAGGTTAGATCTGTGGAGAGGTAACACCGCTGACAGTCAGAATACCTGTTTTTCTAGGTATTTTAAGCATAAAACCGCATGTAATTGAGTAAATCTAAATTAGAGCTGTTTAATGTCATATTGTGGAACATTCCAGGCAGAGCAGTGGCATATCCATAGAAGCAAGCAGGTGATGCTCCCTGAATGGAAACGTTACATGGTGCACCTTTAAAGCAGTGTTAAGGGAACATAATGTAAAACTTACAAGTGTCAGTGCTCCATTTGGAGAGATGAGCCTCTGTCTGGCCAGCATATTGATTTGTAGAGTGTATCGAGTGTGAGGAACAAGAAGCTGAACAGAGAGGAGGAATTAGCTCTTGTTAGATACTGTGTGCTACTTTACTTTACTTTAATCTCAGGTGAAAATAGCTGTACAGCCTGTTGGCTCATCTCACAGAACATGCAGACATTGTTCACCTTGTACAGAGGGTGCACCCTGGGCACGCTCCTCAGTAAAGCCACAGTGAAGACCTCAGCGAGCAGGTGAGTGCGCAGCAGGTGCACGTTCAGCTCATGGTCATGAAAATCTGCACTTCTCACAAAGGTCTTGGCCATTAACCAGTCGTACTCTGGGTCAGTGGGGAAGAAAATGGGGTTGTCTTCTGCTGGAGTCTGTTTGAGCTGCAGGAGCAAACACATCAACACTCACTTATAACACGGTCAGTGAGAGGTCAGTGAGTCTAATGCTAACTGCCGTGCATTATGTTTATGTAACTGCACAGATAATCTGGCAACGGGACTCCCTAAAAACTCAGCATTTCTTCTGGGGAGGGACTTAACATTCTTTTGCAAATAAGGTGACCCACTTTTAAACAGTGTTTTTTATTCACCTGTGCTGCCTCAAAGTCTAAAAAGACTTTTTTTGACAAGACAAAGTTATGTCAAACAACAGACACTTTGTGTTATAATTATGCAAATGTAGATTTTTGTGGATATATTTTTTCACTGTCAGTTTAAGGTTAGGGTTAGGGTTAGGAACAGGTGAGTTTAGAGTTTTGGTTAGGTCTGCTAAACACATCTGGGCAATATTTAGTTTTAACTTTTGTAAGCAAGTACTGCAATGTAGTCTTTGATTTAAAAAAGCATAAGTATATTCTGAATACTGCAAAATGAAAGAGTAACTGTACCAGAATACATTTACTCAAAACTAGTATTCACAATAAGCCATGTTAACATTATAACATGGCTTAAAGCTCAGAAGAGTCAAATGTTTGAGTGGTTCCTTGATGTAAAGTGCTGTGAGTGCCTTGAAAGTGGAAAAGCATTATTCACCTTTTCCCGAATGTTGCCGTGGGCGACGGCATCATCATTTGGGTTGTATCATTTTGTATGGGGCAAATAAGTTCAGTACGGCCTATAAAGCTGTTATTTGTTGGTGCTCATGAACACTGAACATTTTACACAAATGAACAATGTTGATTTTTGTGAATATATTTTTTCACAGTTTAAGGTTAGGCTTAGATTTAGGAACAAGTGAGTTTGATCAGAGAGATCACCATAAAAATACACAAACAGCTACTGTTAGGAGGGACTAGCTGCAACTAAAACAGAAAATAACAAATCCTTAAACATCCATGGGCAACCAAAGAATTGTCAGATTTAAATGTGAACTATTTTCAGATGGTGGGACCATGGTACGTGGTAAAGCACCTGTCTTGGTCTCTTACCTGGATGGCGACTGGCTTCAGCTTGTCCTCAGGGGTTTTGTGAAGGAGGACGAGAGGAGCTGTCAGATACTGCACTTCTCCATTGATAATATTGGTCTTCACTCCATCCAAAAGTTTGTAGTCACAGAGGAAGATGTTGCCTTTCTACAGTATGGACCAGCATACAAACACCGTTAACTTTCTACTCAATTTTCTGATCTATGTTATAATGTTATTTCCTCATCAAAAACATACAAATAGTTGTGTTTTGTTTCATTCTGTCATGTTTAACACACAAACCCTGCATTTTTTAGGCTTTAGGAGTTATTCTCTCAAAAAATGTATAAATAAAAATACTTTGTTCCACCTTGTGATGTCATGTGGTAATACAAGACATGCTCCACTGTGTTTTTAAACTCCATACACTTTCATTTGGATAATTTCATCCCTGGAATTGCAAATCTTTACTGAACTAAAGGTAAAAAGCAGCTGTGGACTTACAAACTATTGCTACGATGACATCACAAGGTGGAGCAGAGCGTTGGAGATGTGGACAGACTAATAATAAAGGATTAATCAGACACAAACACATCTCCAGGTATGTTTTTGATGAGGCAGCAGCATTCTAACATGGCTAAAAGCTCACATAAGTCAGTTCTGAGAAATATAGGACCTTTAATTTGAGTAAAAGTGTTTCCAGAATGTTCATTTAGGAAAGACAGTGAATTACGATTAACAGCAGTCACCTTCATCTCGTCTGTCAAACTGTCCCCGCCCTCCAGAGAGACCATGTCATCAGTGACGGGGAAGTTACTGGGCAAGGAGGTGCACAGTCGGATTAACTTGGGGTTGAGTCCATTCAGAAACTGGTAACCAAAGAAAGCATCTTCTCTCCAGTTTTTCTGCATAAATTCTGGAAAACATGTAACACAAATATAATTATCTCCATCATAGACACTCCTGCTCACCCACTGCACCAGACTACAGAGGGACAGAGGAGCTCATTCTCCAACAAGCCCTGGCTCCAACTGACTTACACTGGAATATTGGTGGCCCTTCCCTCTGTGACAGCTACAGAAAGCCACATCATTTTGGTCGTAAAATGTTCGTATTAATCCGCTCTACATGATCCTGTTTTTATGTCGCCATTTTGTCCATTAAAAAAATCCTATTCCTAACATGGAGCCTTTTTTATACAGTCTCTGTGTGTGAAGTTAGTCTAAGTCTATCATAGTGAACAAAGTAAGTGATGAAGAGAGCAGAGTAATACCTGCAGCATCTGTTTTGTTGCAGCAGAACACTCGGTAAAGGGAGTCAAAATCAGTCCAAGGCTGTTCACAGTCATCCAGATGTGACAGGTTCATCTCAACAAGCCTTGAAACACACATTCATGTTAATCATTTTACAAATGACCTCATACATGTCATTCATTCATTTAATTTGTTTGAGCAAGGTACAACAAAAATCAACAACAATAACAAAAATAAGGATATGTACATGTAAATATTTGGGACTTGGTGCCCAAAAGGAGTAGGATGAAGCTTAAAAACTTATAGAGTCCTACCCCAATTGTTTTACATAATCACGTGGTTCACACCTGTGGATACTTACCTGTCGTATGCATTGCATAAATATACACATATATATACACATGTACACACATACGTACACACATACATACACATATGCATAAAAAATATCCAGTACATACATTCAATATATGCATAACACACATGTACATACACGCAGACCTGTATTTTCGTTTATGGTCGTACTAACAATAATGTTAAAGCAGGCACAAAGTTTATCGTTTAATGATTGTAAAAAGAATAAAAAGTAATGACGGTGAAAAATGTGAGGATTTTTTTCTTTCGTTTATGGTCGTTCAAACTAATATTTGTAATGACGAAGGCACAAAAGTTTATTGTTTATGATCGTACAAAATAAACAGTAATGAGAATGAAAAATTTAAGGACAATGTTGATACTTTGCAGTGACGTCATGCTGGGGGTGTGCTACGTGTATCTGTATTGGTGGAATGTTCAGTAATTACCATGGTAACACAATGCACACATTAGCAAGAAAAGTGTTAAGAATGTCTTAAAACTCATGAAAAACAACTTGATGTTTGGAAGACTTGTTTAAGAACAGATCATCTGGTGTAGCTCAGATTAAGTCTAACTTGAGTACCAGAGCTTCAGACAGAGCAGTGTTTTTAGTTAGTTTCACAGGCCCAGGGAATGTTGATGGCATCAGCTGTAAAGTATCTATTGTCTTTATCTATTGTCTTATTGTCTTACATTTGTATCACAGTCCATTTGAATTCAATGTCCTTTGTGAAAGAGAACTGGACTTCAGGAGGCAGAGCACAGGCATCGTCTGCGATCATGCAGTGAGGCAAACGCTCTTTGTAAACCTGCCAACTGGAACATACACACATGTGCACTTCAGACTGAATATTCACTTTATAAAATATATGTCAACCAAAGTATCACATCACATGCTTACCGGTATTCTTCATTCCTGTGCTTTAGCTCCTGCTCCCTTGCGTATTTACTCAGAAGATGTGTCTCTTCAAAGATTTTCACAGCTTTTAAGTTCAAAAACACTTTCAGAAAAGACACCGTGAAACTGCACACAGTCACCACACCGTACTTGTATTTGAGTATTTGTATTTGTCTTGGCCCAGTACAGATATATTGTTTAAGTCAGCTGCTGCATCTTGTCTGCGTCTAATTACAACACATTTTATCGTCCCATAATCAGCAAGTGTGCGTTAGAATGCTAGTTGTTGTTAGCTTTCCTAATATGGCAAAACTCTGCACAGGTCTCAGAAAGTTGAGAAAAGCACTTTTGAAATTGTTGGTGATGGTTTGATTCCACTGACCTTTTCCCTCCCTGAAATAGTGAACTTTTTCATCTTTGATCCAGTGGTAAAAGGGAAACTTAAAGACTTTTCCCTCTGGACTCGTCACTTCCACTTTGTCCACAAACCAGTGGTCTACTGGAAACAGGAACGTGGACTGCTTGTCCACTTTCACCAGGGTCAGGTCCCCAAGGTCCTCAGCACAGGTTATTATAAAATCTGCTTTCTGAAATGGAGATGCATTTGATTTTTAAGCTTTTATAGATATGCACTGGCAGTCAGAACTTTCAATCAATATTTTCTTTCTTTATTTTACACAATTTTTTACATTTTAGATACCGTATTTCCTGCATTATAGGGCACTCTGGATTATAAAACGCACTGTCATTGAATGGTCTATTTTCGTACTTTTTTCACAAATAAACCGCACTGGACTTTAAACGAAACACAACAGTTGGATGGGTCAGTGGGACTTTGTTTGGCGCGTTCACGGTGACTCTGAGCTTTGTTCAGTTGTGGCGTGTAGGGAGGGTGCTGTCTGGGACCGCTGGATTGTAGGCGTGTTTGCAGTGACTCAGTTGTTCAGTTGTGTTTAGAATAGTGCTGGGAATCATTAAGAAGTTGCTGATACTATACATACCTCGATACATAGGCCACGATATGATATATATCTCGATACAGTGAGCTTTAGATTCGATACGATATACAGTATTTCAAATTAATTTGATACGGTCCAATAAAAATAATGGCAAAATCATGGCTGTGATACTAAAAGTGTTTGTTAAACCACTTCTTGTGCAAAGTGAATATGAAAGACATCCATTTTAATCCTCAAAACAGTGAAAATGTCAAATGTATCGCATAAACAAGTTTCCTTCCTCTAAACAAGCAACAAAACTGTAGCGCTGTAACAAAATATTTTAGTAAAATATATCGAGAATGGCAGTCTGATTTGCTTTAATTTGCAGTGTATTTATTAATGGTCACGCAAATATATTTTTTGGTATATCGATACAGCAGTAGTAGTTTTTTTTGATGGGGTTAGAGGCTCATGAGCCTATGGTGCGGAAAATACTGTATGTAGAGAAGACATCTAATATATATGAAGCAAGATATATGAAATTATGTAGTAAAAAAAAAAAAAAATTAACAATTTTAATATCTTTTTTTTATGATTAATATTCAGAATGTCAAAGCAGCCACCCTTTGATTATTTTTTTTTTGTAAAATTTTCTTTACTAAATAATTCCATATATCTTTCTTTATATATTTGATGCCTTTCCTGTGTATTTAAAATGTACAAAGATGTAAAAATAAAGAAAAAGACAGTCAAAAATTACTCTCATTCATCACTCAGTCAGACATCGAATATGAAGAAAGACTATAGTGTTGATTTGAAAATAAATATAATATATAGATAATAATCAGAATAATAATCATAACAGTAGTAGTAATAATAATAATAATAATGCAATTTATGGTAGAGTGCTCACCTTTCCGATAAGAAAGTTCCCAGCCCAGGGAAGCCAGGTGCGCTCACTTTGGTCTTTCTTACCCACGAGTTGGATGTACACATTGTTAAAAGTACCAGACAGATTACCGGTAAAAACTGTTACTTTGTAATCTGGCATTTTCTTCTCAACAGCAATAAGTCCCTGAAACACAAAACTAAAATAGCAAATCTGCAAAAAGACAAGGAGGAAAACAGTGTGTCTAATCTGGAGTCTCCTTCCAATTGCACACAGAATAATGCTCCCGTGTCTTCCCTTATATAGGCCTAGAATCACAGGTATGGGAAGGTGGGGGGGTCATGGCCAGTTCTTTGGAAATAAGATGTATGTTATATCTATAGGAAAAGCAGTTTCTCTGGAAGTTGTCAATAAAAGCTGACATAAACACACCCCATGCATGCTTTATGACCCTGCACTGGATCAGTACATGGTGGAATACTTATAAATCAAATATTAATAAAATCTTTCTACTCAAAAAGTAGGTTATTAGGATAATCATTTGAATTACTATGCACCAACAAATCCTCTTTTTGTTAAGCTTAAAGAACTATTTATTTATTTTTTTTTATATTGTTGACCTGAGTACAGCTGTAGTGATGTACAAGGCCTATAATCATTTGCTTTTTCTTATTGCTTCCTTACTCAAATAACTTATTCCTAGTTATTTGAGCAGAGTTAGTAAAAAAAAAAAAAAAAGTAAAAAGTCCTATAACATTAGAGAGCAGGTATCTGTACTTTCTACTCCATGACATTTGTGAACAGAAATATCACTGTCTTAAGACCTGCTGAAAAGTCTGAAGTGTTCATTTTTAACATGTTAATTTGATCAAACAAGTTTTTATTTTTTTATTTTTAAGTAGTAAAGTCCTCTTCTTAAGTAGCAGTAGTAGTAGTAGTAGTATTAAGTAGTATATACTTTAGAAGAGGACTTTACTTTAACTTTGTTACCTTCCACCACTGCTATTCAATATATGAAAGCTGGAACACTATATTTTGGGGCTCAGTATTTATCGTTTACATATTTTTTTTGTTGCAATAGTGGGAAGTTTTCGGCTATTTTTATGTTATACAGTTTTATGTAATAAGATCTGAGCTGTAGAGGGATGAAAATATAAAAATAATATTACTTCTAGGACTATTATTTCTTCATTCTGTATTTATTTGTTGTAGCTCATGCTTGTTAATTATACTTTTAGAAAAAATGTTTTTCTTAATTAATGGTTTACCAGGATATATTTATGGACAAAATAATCATGTAGAGCGGGTTAATACAAACATTTTAAGACCAAAATGACGAGGCTCGCAGCAGCAGTTACAGAGAGAGGGGCGACAATACTTAAACCGTAAAGTCAATTGGAACCCGAGCTGATGGAGCCGGAAGTGCCCCATGAACATTTCCAGTTTATGTCCATTTATATATACCATCTGTTATCAGTAGAACATGGTTGATAAAAAACGTACATTAAAACTAAACTAAACTAAACTGGGAGAAGATCATTTCTTACATCTAAAACTGTAACAACCACCAATCCAAACTCTTCTTCTTCTCCTGTCCAAATTCAACATTTTATCTGTAAAATGAGTATGCGATCCAGCCATTGTAATATAATGGTATGTACAGGGTATATATATATATATATATGTATGTCCTGCCTTTGTACGCAATCATTATCATTTGATTTATTGTTATTTTACTTAAAACATAATAATATAATAAAATAATAAAATCAATAAGTTGGTTTTATTGATTTAATTTATGTATTGGTTTATGTATTTCTAGTCTATGATTTTGTTTTTATTTTATTTTACTGGTTTTGTTACTTTAAGACTAGTATTATTTTGGTAGTTTATGTTATCGTCTTATTATTGTTGTTATTATGTATTTGTGCAGCACTTTGGAAACTGTGTGTTTGTGCTATAGAAATAAAGTGGATTGGATTAGATAATTCAACTCACTCACTCTTTACACTAAACAAAAGTTGTAGAACCGGTTCTACTATAGATTTCCTCTCTATTCAGAAATCACCACTCCCCTTGTGAATTTTTATCTCGGTATGAGCGTCCACTGAAGCACCAACGCATCACTACGTCAATTAAAACTGGATGTAGCAGAACCTAGTCTTCTAGATTCAGTGTTGGGAAGGTTACTTTTAAAATGTATTCCCCTACAGATTACAGATTACATAGCCCAAAATGTAGTTTGTAACATAATCCATTAAATTACTTAAAGTGAATAATGTAATCTGAATATTTTGGATTTCTTGATTTGCTGTAGAGAAGCAAAGACGAGGAAATCTTCACATAAGATGTTTTGTCTGATAAAAGAAAATGAAAGGGCTTTACTGAACCGTATTAAAAATATTATTGATAGAAGAGGAGGAGACACGGTCCACGCAGCATGGTTTAGCCCTGTTAAATCCTGTTTTAGACCTGGTTTAGTCCTGTTAAATCCTGTTTTAGACCTGGTTTAGTCCTGGTTTAATCCTGGTTTAGACCTGGTTTAATCCTGGTTTAGACCTGGTTTAGTCCTGGTTTAATCCTGTTTTAATCCTGGTTTAGACCTGGTTTAGTCCTGGTTTAATCCTTGTTTAGACCTGGTTTAGTCCTGGTTTGATCCTTGTTTAGACCTGGTTTAGACCTGGTTTAGACCTGGTTTAGTATCCGGCAATGAGTGGAATTACCGAGGAAAAAAAAAAAAAAGGGGGGGGGGGGATATAGCCTTAGGAAAATCCCGCTGTGTAATCCATTTATTTCAACAAAGTAACTGTAATCCAATTCCCACTTATTGAAACAGTAACTGTAACTGAATACAGTTACTCATAATTTGTACTCTGATTACGTAACTCCGGTACATGTCTCTCTCGTACGCTCAAATAGAACAGGGAGCACTAGAAGAAAGTTTTATCACTTGATGAAAACATTGGAAGCTCCAGTGTATGGAAAACATATTTATACATTTTCACATCTGGAGAGGAGCAGAGGAAGATTTCATGCTTACACAGTCTACAGTAGCAATATATCATGCTTCAAAATGTGTATCATGGCCTGTACAGTATGTAGCATGTACCAATATCTATACTTTTATTTCTTTATTATTTATTTTGCTGTTACCTGCTTAGAACTATTCTTGTTTTCTCTACCCACTTCCTGCATGTGCCATTATTCCTGTAATGTATGTCAATCACACACAAAATCCACTGTACTTTGACATTCCAGACAACTGTAAAACAACTCACCATCAGTGTTGGCGGGTAACAGATTACATGTACCGGAGTTATGTAATCAGAGCACAAATTATGAGTAACTGTATTCAGTTACAGTTACTCTTTCAATAAGTGGGAATTGGATTACAGTTACTTTGTTGAAATAAATGGATTACACGGCTGTATTTTCCGGTTTTCCTGTTTTCGCATTTTGGGCTATACCCCCCCCCCATCAGAATCTAAACCACTGATTTAACTAGATCTAAACTAGATCTTAACCAGGTCTAAACCATGTCTAAAACCAGGTCTAAACTAGGACTAAACCAGGACTAAAACAGGACTAAAACTGGATTTAACAGGACTAAATCGTGCTGCGTGGACGTGTCTCTTCTTCTATCAATAATATTTTTAATACGGTTCAATAAAGTCTGGGCTTTTTATTTTCTTATAGCAGACAAAACATCTTATGTGACGATATCCTAGTCTTTGCTTCTCTACAGCAAATCAAGTAATCCAAAGTATTCAGATTACGTTACTCACCTTAAATAACTTAATGGATTACGTTACAAACTACATTTTGGGATATGTAATCTGTAATCTGTAGGGGAATACATCTTAAAAGTAACCTTCCCAACACTGCTCACTTTTATATTAAAGATAAGCCTGTGTTTTTGTCAATCATATCATCTCAGCACGGTTTTCTTTACGACCTGTGCTGTACTGTATTGATATTACTATATTTCTGCTTTTTACTTGTACATGTATATTTATATAATCATGCTTATTGACACCAGTCTCTTAGTATTTTTATTGCCACTTATTTAGTATTATGACAATGTTTTCTCTTTGTCATTGTAAGTCTAAGTATAATGTAGCGTGACACATACCGTAAGTGGGTTTGAAAGCAGAACACCATGTCAGCAGTGTGTTTAGATCTTTGCAGGTTCCAGGGTAAATGCAGATTGTGCACTATCCATGTTTCCAGTGAAATCGGCATGACGGTAAATAATTTATGAATCCGGAAAGGTTGAAAAGTACAGTTAAAGGGACAAGCCTTATCTTATTGAAAAAAAAAATACAACTCTTTAATCATTCACTCGACAGTCACCACCAGGGACGTTATGTTCCACAGCAGCTCTGGGCCTGAATTACAGTAATGTGCTTTAGGTGGGTTATAGAATTATGTAGTAAAGAAATAAAAGGATGCAGGATTTGAAAATAAAATATACCAAAAATTACCAAACAATTATTTAAATTGTTTCTTTATGCTACATAAATCTCAATTAATATATTTCATCTCTTCTGTATGTATATAAAATGAATGTGGTATCTGTCAAACTCTGACCACAACTCTGTCTTTTTAATTCCAACCTACAAGGCTGCTCTGAAGAGGAGCAAACCGGTAACCAGGACAGTCCATGTTTGGCAGGAGAGCAGCATAGTGGAGCTCAGTGGATGTTTTTGGGCCACAGATTGGGATGTTTTCTATCAGGATGCCACTGTGAACAGTATTGCGGAAGTTCTGACAGACTATATTCTCTTCTGCACTGACTGTATAATTCCTAAAAAAGACATTAAAATATATCCCAATAATAAAGACTACATAACATCAGACATAAAAAATTGCATACGCCGGAAAAAAGAAGCATTTAAGAACAACAACATGCTTGAAGTTAATGACATCGACCGAGAACTTAGGAAGAAAATCAAGGAAGCAAGGGACAAGAATAACAGGAGGGTCAGGGAAGCTCTTAATACCAGAGATTCAAAAAAACTCTGGAATGTTGTTAAAGACATAACAAACTTAAAATCTAATACAGGTTCCCTGCATGTCCCGAACGAATTTGAGAAGGCCAATGAATTAAATGCCTTTTATAATAGGTTTGAATGTTCACCAGGTAATTTTCGAGCTGAATC